TCGTAGTTTTGACTATAGCGTTAACCTATCGGTCATCGAACACTATGGTCTACCTGGATGTAGGATGGGAAAATAAATTTGATGCGAAAGGTTAGTCTGATCTAGAGATGATAAATAAACAAATAATGATTGCTTCCTTTAATTTCCGGGCGCCTTAAAAAAAAACAAAAAAATCTCTTATTACCTACCGGAACTAACTTATACGCACCATGTTCCGATAATGCAGAATTCAATCATTGTACTCTAAAATTGCATTAGTCTTGAGTCACCGGTTCTTCAATTTGCATTGTTGATCAGAAAACAAACAATTTATTAGCGATCCAGACCTCGGTGAGCGTAAACCATCTAACTTAAACTGGTTACCGATTCGCATCAGCTAATTAGACTCAACCTTAACTTTGCCATAAAATACTCGAATTTCATTCGGCCGAGTGACGTAGTCACATTTACGTTTGGTTTTTGTAGAATGCCGCTTTCTGCTCACATACTGTAACATCGTCAATGCTCCGTTGTTGTAACCGGATCGCGTGCATCAACCATTATCGCTCCCAGGTCTGTAGTCCAAAATAGAAACTGTGGTGAGTATGACAAGAAGAGCGGAAAAACTTCAACTGGTGTCCTATAAGTTGTTACACATTCGCACAAGGAATAGCGAATTCGTTGTTCTACACGCACTCTCTCCCACTTCGGACATACAATTAATTTTTATGTGACTTATGTTAATTAGAAGGGTGATAAACTTTGGTGATTGGGAATTGACCTTTCTTGAACACGACATTTGTGTCTTATCGCACTCGGGCGTATTGATATGAAGGATGAACAGAGGTATGTGTTTTGTGGGGATATGTCATGCGAACTCTGGCCAACAATGGACTTTCTTTGTTTATTACTATCCTATATGTATTGCACTCTAGCGGATGTGTGGACCCGGTAATATTTTCGCACGACCAGCTTCGTTCAGGAATCATAAATTTCAAAGCTCCTTGGAATACTTTGTTAGTTCGACCGCAAAAGTACCTCCTGAAACTTGCAAATAATACGTTTGAATTTTATTCATGCATGCACGACCCCATTCGATATCAGATGTAGACTTAATTTAAAATGCTATTCAATCCTATACTAGTGTTTTTTTAGCTTGCATATATGTATATTTTCGGAATTGAACTCAATTGTTCAGTGACCGAAGCCTGGTCTTTACCATTTCCATGACCTCATCCCTTCCCACCTCGCTCCTTCATTGCCACCTATTCCCTTGCCCCCATTCACAGATATTCTTATGGGGGTAACGGTTCTACCATCTGACAGAGGAGACACTCTGTCACTCACAATGCTCCCTCCTGCCTCTTCGTTGTCTCTTTCTCTCTTTTCATTATTGATGTGAAACTTTGTCCCTTGGTCTATCACACAATTCATACGAGAAATTTTTTTTTTTTTTTTTTTACCATTCATGCAAGAGAAATTTGTTCGATCAATGCTTTTACCCAATGCAGCAGGGAACTCATATTGATCTCGCAACTTCCGAAGATACGAAAATCGCGTATGGCAAGTGACGAATGATGAATGTATAATAACAAGTAATTTTAGAGATATTGGAATCCGTATGTGGTTAAGGTCTCGTCCTTCCGATCGTCTCATTCATTATTTCATATTAACACGGTCATTGTTTCGTCAGATGTTCGAACATAATCAATAATGATTACTCAGATGCCAGGAAGCGGCAAACATAATAAGGAGGAAACGAATTGCATGAGCGCGTCTCAAAAGCTATCTTTGGCGCGAAATTCATATTGTTAGGTGTTTGGTAGCTGATAGAATAGGGGCGAACAATTGCAGGAATACGAAGCGGCCGCCTTTCTCAATAATAAGCAACAATGACAATGATGTTGATGATGATGGACACGTCAGATTATTTTAAAATTTCTTGTGCCAGCCATAAAAAATGGCTGGGCGACAATAATGTATTCATTCTCTACAGAGGTACACATGTGAAGAAAAAAACTCGTTAACCCTAACTTGACGGTAATTGAAAATTGACCCTCCGGAGAAAACGCGAAAGTGTTCCTCCGGGTAAGTAAAGTCCCATCATCGTGTGCGCCTTTTTTTGTTACCTCATTCATTCATCCGTGATCTAAATACCGTCGTATATCATTCGAAAGCGTGTCCAAGCGATTTTTGTAATAAAGAATTGCCATTGCTTGGCGAGGCCGGGAAGGAAATGGAATCAAGAAGTCAACATTACATGTTTCGTGAAACATCAAAAGTATGACGGTTGGCTCACGTGATAGACATTTTGTACTACATGAAATGTGCCCTTCGTTCCTTTTCCTGCACCATTCTATGCATCTCATTTAAGGATTTTGTCGGGTATCCAATCGCGCACGTCTCTGAGCATTATTGAAGAATTTCATAGGCATTCAACGAGTGTAAATGGAAACAGATATGTGAAATGAGAGTGAAAACAGAGGACAAAATGAGCGAGGATGACTTATCTAATTTCGCGACGAGCGTGAAAGAAAAGAATTAAGAAATGAGAATGAAAAACAACAACCGGGAAATAGCGTAGCCCCCTCGGTAAATCCCGAAAGTTAACCCTGAAATGATATCATTCCAATGAAAAAAAAGTAAATCCCGTGCATCCTCGCGAAATCTTCGAGTACGTAAGCACCTAAAAATATGTTTCCACGGAAAAATGTCGATTGTTTTATATTTTTTTCATTCCAGAAGATCCAAATGTATTTGATTGTTATAGAAATCGCATCCTCCGATAAATCTTAACGTTCATTGATGTTATTCGCAACGATGAATCAAAGCAATGGTCACCGTTGATCCGTCCCGATTCTTTCCCATAACGGTTACGCTTCACATCAGTTGTGATGTCGCAATGATTGAGAGTTGGTCCACGTTTTCAGCATCTGAAGTACACTAGGCGGACTACTTCGGCGATGTAATGTCGGGGGTGACAGCATCAAGCGTTATTAATTACTATTATTATTACTACGGTATTTTCTTTTTCTTTTTTTTTAATCTGTAGATTACCATGATCTGCATGATCGCTCGTATTCGGGTTTTTATCGGGTTAATCGATCGGTTATTTGCGCGCATTT